ACAAGCTCTTGAACAGCAGGCTGGCCTCAAACTCAGAGTAATCCACCTGCCTCTGTCTCCTGAGTGCTGGGATTAAAGATTAAAAGTGTGTGCCCCCACCGCCTGGTGGCCTTTGTACATTTTTTTAACATACATGACTCATTTAGAGGTTTATTTTTGTCTGAATCTGTCTTTATTGCATATCTGTAATTATTTTCTGACCAGGAGCACTTTCTTTTCCTTTTTTTAAATGCTAAGTGGACATGACTAGGACCAACTCTGCAGTCCTGCCTGTTGGCTCCACCCAGTCAAACATGGCAGAAGCATGTTCACTGCCTCTGAGAGGCAAGCACCCTGCCCCAGCTCCAGGGTTGCAGTAGGCCTACGTCACCACACAGACCCCATTTAAGTGCTCTGCCTCCTGAAAGAGCTAGAGTTCATGCTGGCAGCATGAACCAGGAAGCCACTGCTTCTTATGCGGAGTCAGTGAGCCTCCGCTGCTCCCTATGCGGAGTCAGTGAGCCTTCCTGAAGGAGCTATGGCACTCATCGCCATCAAACAGAGCCCACCCGAAGAAAGAAAAATGCCAACTACCAAAAAACCATGCTTAGCTCTATTCTTTTATGTCTAGAATTCCTTTCCAAGCTTTCTCAGGTTTTTCATGAATGTAGTCAGCCCGCGTTGGGCACCAATCTGTAGGCAGAGGCTGTTTGTTCATTTCCAGCTGCCCAGACCCAAAATAATCACACAGAAACTATATTATTTGCAATACCGCTTGGCCAATAGCTTAAGTGTACTTCTAGCTCGCTCTTATATCCTACAGTAGTCTATCTGCATTAATCTGTGCATCACCATGAGGTCTTGGCCTACCAGCAAAGTTCCAGCAGGGCAGGGGAGTCTTTCTTCTTTGGCAGCTACATAGCTTCTCTCTGACTCCGCCTCCATATATATATATATATATTTTCTGGACTGTATATATTCTGTTAAGCCATTGGCCGAAAGCAGCTTCTTTATTAACCAATGGCAATAAAATATACTTACAGAATACAGAGGGGCACCCACATCAGGGGACGAAGCCTGTCTCCTGGTCTTGGGGCTGAGGCCTGCAAGACCCATAAGGACAGCCACCAGCACTGTCACCATGTGGAAAGTGAGGAGGCAGAGCCCGGAGAGACTGAAGCTCTGACACAGTGTTCGGCAAACTCGTCCTGGGAAGGGTCTCGGGGGAACTCCTTTTTTTTTTTTTTTTTAGGATTATTCAGTCAAGTAGTGTCCTCTGAGCCACCCATACCTGCCATTAGATAGGGAAGGCAGCCATGGATAGTATCAAATGAGACAAAAATAAATGACCATTAGGGCTAGGTTCCAGGAGACTTTATATTGGCACTTGTCATGTATTTTTTTTTTACATGCCATTAACTAGCATTCTTTCTACTTTGTTTTCCAACCACATAATAAAGATAAAAGTGAATCCATTTTTAACTCATGGGCTAAACAGAAACAGGCAACAGACCAGGGCAGAAGTGTCAACCCTTGATGTCAGAGAGCATCTCACAGACACTTCAAGGCCCTAAGACAGACAGACAGACAGACAGACAGACAGACAGACAGACAGAGATACTTCATTGCTTGCCAGATGTCTGGTGAACTGCAGAGCCTCAGGCTGCTCTGATGGGGATCTCAGGCAGGTAGATGGGACTATGTGGCACCTCCAGAGTCCGGGAGCTCATGAGAGCATCAGGGTGGGGCTGCAATCTTTCCTGGAAGTGTCCAACTGTGGGGTGATCTTGCGAACGCAGAGCCTTAGCAGGAAGAGGAATCATTTGTACTTCAGAAAACAAAACCAGGAACATTTTTAGGTCTAAGGATAGGCCCCCACAGTAGAGTGCCAGCCTCCAATACCCAGTCTCCAGTTTGGATCCCTAGTGTCACAAATGTAAATGGTTTATTTGGATATGTGGATATCAGACCCAGGACCTTAGGCACCAGAATTCTCAGTTTGAGAGCTTGAGAGATGGCTCAGTGATTAAGAGCACTTGTTGCTCTTACAGAGGACTTGGGTTCAGCTCTCAGCACTGCCTGATGACTCACAAGCATCTGTAACTCCAATTCCAGGGATCTGGCGACCTCTTCTGGCCTCTGCGGGCACTGCATGCACACAGTACACAGACAGTCATGCAGGTAAAGCACCCAAAGACATAAAATAATGAGATAAAAATAATTTTTTAAAAAGTTGTTTTCACTATTGGGCTGGGGAAGCTAGCTCAGAAGTGGAGTACTTGCCTAGTACAAGGCGCTGAACTCAATCCTTGGCTGTATGCATTTTTTAAAAAAAAAAATCCTGCTCTTTAGCAGTATAAGAGGAAAAATAAGTTTTTCCATTGACAACTCAGTCTTACAGAATGTCCATCCTGGGGTCCTTAAGCTCTGGTCAACAGCCGTCCACTTTGGACATCTGAGGTGAACTCAGCTTGCCTTAAGAGGCTAACCGGACCTGCTGGGGTCTCCTCTGCCTCCATCCTTCCCAGGGCAGAAGAGGGCAGATGTGGAGGGGGAGGGGAAGTGAAAGAGCAACTCTGGTCTCCCTTTCTCCAATGACAGACATGGTAGAGATGAACTCCCCAGCCCCCTGTGTGATCCCAGACACCCAGCCGACGAAGGCCCCTTTGAAGTTGCATCTCCCTGCACAAGGAGGCTGTGATCACATCTGAATGCTGTGAGGACTCCAGTATCCTGAGTTACTACAGCCACAGGGAGATTTTTTGTAGAGGAAAAAGGCATCCCAACATAACCAGGAATGTCCAGGAAAAGACAAACACAGCCCTGGGCTTTTCTCTATGCCCTGGTTGGGCAGGCATGGAAAGGAAGCCACGGGGGCACAGATTGACTTCCGGACACTCTACATCAAGTCTGGGCTCAGGACAAGGAGTCAGCCATCTTCTCTCGATGTTATGCACAGTTGGCAAATTTGGTTGACACCATAGAAAAGCATATTTCATTGCGGTTAACTCTCTGCCAAAATTTAGATTTTCTTAAAAAATATATCATAACTGATTCTTAAAATTATTTTATTTTATATGTATGAGTACCTTTTTGTATGTACATACGCCATATAAGTGGCTGTGGCTTTGGAGGCCAGAAGAGGGTATTGGATCACCTCTAACTAGAGTTAAAGGCAGTTGTGAGCTGTCATGTGGGCGCTGGGAACTAAACCCAGGTCCTCGGAAAGAGCAGTCAGGGCTTTAACCACAGAGCCACTGCTTCAGCATCCTAGCTGACTTTTATTTTTATTTATAAAAATAAAAGATTTATTTATTTGTTATGTATACAGTGTTTCCACCTGCCTGCCAGAAGAGGGCACCAGATCCCATTAGAGATGGTTGCAAGCCACCCTGTGGTTGTTGGGAATTGAACTCAGGACCTCTGGAAGAGTAGCCAGTGCCACCAATCTCTGAACCTTCTCTCCAGCCCTGCATAGATAACATTTTTTAAATAACACATTTTTCTGGGCTTGGTGTCACAGCCCTATAAACTCGGCACGTGGGAGGCTGAGGCAAGAGGATTATACATTTAAGACCTGTCTATCCATGAGCGCTCTCTCTCTCTCTCTCTCTCTCTCTCTCTCTCTCTCTCTCTCTCTCTCTCTCTCTCTCTGTCTCTCTCTCTGTCTCTGTCTGTCTCTGTCTCTGTCTCTCTCTCTGTCTCTCTTTCTGTCTGTCTCTGTCTCTCTCTCTGTCTCTCTCTCTGTCTCTCTCTCTCTCTCCCTCTCTCTCTCTCCCTCTCTCACTCTCTCTCTCACACACACACACACACACACAGGAGGGAGGGGAGAGGATTTCTGGCTATTCTTCCTATGGCACACAGTCAGGTACTCCTTGTGCTCCATTACCCTCGGTTAAGACACCCAGGCAATGACTCAGCAGAGCTGCTCAGACCACACTCTTCAGGCTGAGAGGAGTCTCTGGCTTTGCTTCCCTCGGCCAAGCAGAGACAGAGCCACAAGGCCAGGGGGTGCTCTCATTTCCACTGACCGGAACGAGATTTGTAAACATTTCCCTCTAAGCTGGATTTCTTAGGGTACCGGGAATTAACGGAGAAAGGAAGGACGGCACCAGTGTGCACTACCGTCACCTGGTCCCTGCCCCCAAGCACCACACAAGTAGAGGTTATCCGCGGGGTCCCCCAGTTCTATAAACTAGGAACTGTGGGAAATTCAGCCTCTTGCCTGGACTCATACTTCGGGAGTGAAGTGGAGCTTGGCTTCCAGCCTAACTCCCTCTGCCTTCGGGCCTGGCTGTAGCCACCGTTCCACAACGCCTGGCTTAAGTAACCTGCTCAGTGTTGGCCAAGCGTTCTACAAGCACACATTTCAGTCGCTCCGTCGTGGCCTCCTCGCATGAATTCTCCCCCACTTTTCCTCTCGGAATTTTACTTTGCACTATAACTGCCCAAGTGCTGGGTCTGAGCTACGTGTGCTGTTTGTCTTCATCCGCTTTGAGGTCTAACGTCTCAGCATGGTGGCAGGGGTGGGGGGCAGAGCCCGGTCAGAAATGTTGAGGTCAGAGGTGCAGACCTGAAGAATTCAACTGGATTAGTTATTGTTCTAGCTCAGTTTCCTGTTGCTGTGGAAGGGGAAAAGAAAAAAACAGAAACAAAAAAACCAAGGTAACTTGGGAAGGAATGGGTTGATTTCAGCCGACAACTCCAAGCTCACAGTTCAACCTCAAGGAAAGTCAGAAAGGGAACCCGGAGCAATCGCTCACCCACCTTTCCTCTCTATAAGCCCAGGCCCATCTGCCTAGGGCCCACGGTGGGCTGGGCCCTCCTGTAGCATTCGGTCATCAAGAAAAAGCCCCACGGATGGTGCGGGAGAATTATCTGTATTCTGTCAATCATATTTTAATAAAACGCTGATTGGCCAGGCAGGCAGTATAGGCGGGAAAGCCAGACAGGAAGTAGGGGTGGAGCAAAGAGACTTGGAGTATTCTGGAAGCAGAAGCTCTCTCTCAGCCATTCCTGCGCAGACCACCAAGAGGCAACATGTAAGCTGACAGCTGAAAAAGGTACTGAGCCCGTGTGGCTAACATAGATCAGAATAATGGGTTAAGATAAGTCATAAGAACTAATAAGTAGCCTGACCAAATGGGCCAATCAGTTTATAACCTTATAGAGTCCTGTGTGTGATTTTCTTTGTTGCTTGCCGGCTGTTGGGGTACCAGGAGGGACAGAAACCCCAACAAGCCAGCCCTTATGTTACACACGGATGTGCCACTGAGCAATCTGATGGGGTAACTTCTCAGCTGAGATTCTCTCTTCCCAGGTTTGTAGTGAGGTGTCCTAAACTAACCTGCACAGCTACTGCCAAAGCTTTGCCGTCGCCCCGGCAACCCAAGCAGCCAGGATTGCCCACCGTGGGAGGGAATAGCCAAAGGTCTCACCAGAAGTCAATAGGATCAACAAGATGTCGTTGAACTTCCCAACATGTGTCTTGTTTTGTTTGTTTGGCTCACTGGCTGTTGCTCGGGGTTTGGGTATGAGGGTTGCTTTGCTTTTTTCCAGGCAGAGTCTTCCATGTGTAGCCCAGGCTAGCCTTGTACTCACGCTCCCCTTGTCTCGGCTTTCCTGGGACGACTTGAGCATCTTTTTTTTTTGTAAATCACCCACAAAGAGAAACAGACCAGACCCGGCCGCAGCAGGCAATTTCTCACAATATCCCAGAGAATCAGAACACAAGCGAGCGAGAGCCAGTAATCGGGCTAGCAGCGTGACTCCATGGTAGAGCTTTACCTCCCATGGGCAAGGCCACAGGGTCCACCCTCGCCACCTCAACAGGTCGGGGGATTCGTTTAACAAAACGCATGAGGTTGAAAGTTAAACTCACAGAAGGGAGGTCTGTAGCAAACCAGCTGCAGTCCAGAACCTTGGAAGAATCACATAGGTTCTCTCTCTCCACGGCACAGGGCACAGACGTGCTGAGAATAAACTGTTAAGAATGTCTGTTTCCCGGGCGGTGGTGATGCATGCTTTTAATCCCAGCACTTGGGAGACAGAGGTAGGTGGATCTCTATGAGTTCAAGGCCAGCTTTTTCTACAGAGAGAATTCCAAGACAGTCGGGGCTGTACACACACACACACACACACACACACACACACAGGTATGTTTCTTCTCATTCCTATGTGCACCTGTGCCATTGTTCCTGCCTGGCCTTGGGAAGAAAATTTGAATTACAGAGGCACTGTGTCCAAGAAAGCTGGGCACAGCTAAGAGCTGGACTGCCACACATTTGGGAAGCAGATGAAAGGTGTGCACTTGGAAATTTAGAACTCAAGTGGTTTCCTGGCTCCCACGATGCTTAGCGGTAAAGCTTATTATACCCCCTGGTGAATAGCGGAGGATTTGCTTGGGAAGCTGATCAATATGGGAACAGGCACAGAGAATCACTGTCAGAAGTCCCTTAGAGCCACACTGAGAATCGCCCACAGGGAGGATTCATCCATCACCTGAGTGTTCATAACCATCGCTTGGAGTTTGAGGGAGGTCTCTTAGTGAAGACAAATTATGCTTGTCTACAGCGGGCAAGAGCGGAACAAACATCAACAAAACCTCTAATTGCGTACCTATCTTTCTCACAAAGCTCCTACAGGATGTGCTCCAACAAAACCAAGGTGGCTTTGGTTCCTATTTGGTTTGGCTCTCAGGTAGCCCAAGCTGGTCTTGAACTCACTGTTTTGCTGAGGATGTCCTTGAACAACTCCACTCCGCAAGGACTGGGAGTGCAGCTGTGTGCACCACACCCAGGCCAAGGAAGAAAATGCAAGCGCCAGGAAACAAGGCTCTCAGAAGAAAAGGACGATTAAAAGCACTAAGGGAGGGACTGCAGTGGCCACAGGACAAGGCCAGTCTGACTTCAGAGCAGAACGGCGGCTAAGGAAGATGTCATCAGAGAGAAAGGCCATGGGGGGCTTAGCATGTTCGTCATATTGGAAGAGTTTGGAGGTTAATTCTCACTAAAGACCAAAGAACGCCACAAGTCAACAGATAGCTAGAAGCAGGAGGATTGCCACAAGTACAAAGCCAGGACACGTGTGTGTGTGTGTGTGTGTGTGTGTGTGTGTGTGTGTGTGGTATGTGGCATGTGTAAGAGAGAGTGTGTAT